GTCAAACAATTAATCACATTGTATGTGTATACATGGGCAACGCGGTGGCACAGTAGGTAGTGCCGTCACCTCACAGCAAGAAGGTTGCTAGTTTGAGCCTTGGCTGGGTCAGTTGGCATTTCTGTGTGGAGTTTGCATGTTCTCCCCACGTTTGCGTGGGTTTCCAAAGACACATGGGTCTCCAAAGACATGTGGTACAGGTAAATTGGGTGAGCTAAAATTATATGTTGTGTATGTGTGTGAATGAGAGTGTGTGAGTGTTTCCCAGTGATGGGTTGTGGCATCCGCTGCATAAAACATGTGCTGGATAAGTTGGCGGTTCATTCCGCTGTGGCAACCCCAGATTAATAAAGGAACTAAGGCGAAAAGAAAATGAATGAATGAATGTGTGTACATTGTGTATATTTATTATGTTTATATGGATACAAAAATATACAAAAGAAACATACGTATTTTATTTCAAATGTATACATATATTTTTATACACACAACTGAGAAATTTCAGCTGCTTTCTGGGTATTCCATGCCTTTTTACACCTCCCTTTCTTCATCTGTTCAATACTTTCCCCCAGTGTAATTTCATATTATTACACATAATAACACATGACTTAATTTATAAATGTTAAACATCTTAATTTCTATCGTTTATGGACACCAATAAGGCCTGAATGTTTTGGGTATTTTTTTACGATTTGTAACTGCTAACATTTCAGAGACTAAGTGTCTGTATGTGTTCGTAAATTTTTTATTTATTTTTTATTTTATATGATCGCAGACGTTACTGTAGGCTATTTTGCATTATTACTGATCTGCAGCTATAATCAAATCCTGTTTATAGAAAGGTTAGGACATAAATAAATTAACATTTATTTATACAGAAGCATTTATGTATATAAGAATATACTTAAAAAAATATGGGTACTTCAAGCTAAAATTACTTCGACTGCAACTTTGTCGAACAACACGCCTACCAAAAGTGTGCCATTGATACCATTTGGCAGTGGAGACAAAGCCTGATAAAGGTGGCCCACACGGAATCTGCACGCGCAGAATTCCACAGATTTTTAGTCCATCATTGATTCTGTTTATTTTCTTGTGTAAATGTGTGTACATTTATATTTATTCAGTTTTTAAAATAATTTCAGTATAATTGTTGACTAATATGAAAATGTTGATTAGATTTATTTACAATACAGTTTGTAAAGTACTATTTTCTGTCGTTTAGTAGATAAATTATATGAAAGACTTGCTTTGTTTACTAAATAAGTGGATCTTATTGGATTTGCATTGTAATCATTAAATAAAAGTTAAAAAGGTTATATTTTTACTTCATATATGAAGCTTTTAGTTTCTCCAAAAATAATTCCGCATAAATCCATAGATTTTTAACAAAATGTTCCGCAGAAACAGCAAAAAATGTCAGACAGATTCTGTTTGGCCCTACCCAACCCTACTGTACCACTCAGTGGAAACGAGACAAAAAAGTGGTACGGTACGGTTCGCTTTTTGGTACTTTTGACAGTGGAAATGTGTATAACAGTGCACCGACCTATAGCGTCATGTGTGAAGATTTTAAAATCTAGGTTATAAAGACTCCTGACTAAATCTGTTTTGTGCTCTTTCTAATAAGATAACATCCCACATCATATAATACACAATCCTAATTTCTTACTCGAAAGTGAGAATGTCAGACTATAACCTTAGAGCTACTTCACCATTAACTCATCATGCCTCATTTTGACTGAAACGAATCAAGCCAAGCGATGCTTAATCCAAACAGTGTTACTCACAGACCAATCGACCCACAAACCTTTGCCAATTGTGGTTTTCCCAACTAACCCACGTGCACCAGTGCACGCACACACATCCATTGATGGGGCCCTGGCCATCAGTCATTATAACAATCACTGGCAACAAAGCCGCGAAGGATTATCCACTCATGCGGAAAAATAGCGCTTTAATATTTGTATCCGTTTAAACTCGATCATCGTTTCTGAGACACACATTTGTGACTTTTATGAAGAATTTGCAATGATTTAATTAGTGAATAATTAGTGAAAACAAATTTAAACATAATGAAATCGCATTGTTATCATTTTAAAATAAAACTACACAGGCTGAGCTTAAACTTAAACTGTCCTCAGCTCAGTCCATTAATGAGTCTCAGATGAGCTTATGAAGTGCTTGTTATCTCAGAATATCGAGTCTCTTGGGATCTTAAATTCGCAGTGTTCAGATCGGCACCCTCAGCCAACTGTTTTAATAAGAGTGGAACACATTTATTACATGTGGAAACTGAAGTAACAGAATGATCTGAATAAAACACGACCTTGCCACACATACACATGCTCGAGATTTTTTGAGGATCTAAAAAATCAAGGGTTGCATAAAACGAGGCACACATAAGGCAGATTTTGTGCTGTCTGACATTCGGGGTCACCACTTCCCTCTAGACTGCTGAGGTCAAGGGTCAAGATACACAATATGAACAATGGAAGGAGAGACAAGTGTCCACAAACACTTTAAATCAAAAGTAATGAGCAGTTTATACACTTATGCTTTTTAAGTAATGCCTATTTATTTGAGTTAATACTGTTAAATAAGATAAAAAAGTGCTAATTTATGGATCTGTAAGGGATCTGCATTGCTGTGATGGATCATAGGAAAACAGTTTTTTTTTTATATAAATAGTTTATTTTTTGTGTGTTTGCTTTAGTTTCACCTTTTATTAATCTATTTTTTAATCTATTTTAAAATTAATTTTAGTCTAATTTGCATTTATTTGTTTAAATATTTTTTTTATTTAGTATGTTTTTATAGTATTTTTGATCAAATTGTATATTATTATTATTACTTAATTTTAGTCTTATTATTATTTATTTATAATAATAATTGATACAAGTTTTTCTTCTACTAAGGGTTTTGTACATACTTATACCCTTAATAAAATGTTTTATTTGTATCAAACCTTTATTTTCAATGTTTTATTAAATAATTTATTCATTTTTTATTCATTTAAAATTTGTATGATTTTTCTACAAACGTTTCCATAAACCTTAATTCTCTTTATTAATTTTTGTTTCTTAATTTTAGTTCAGATGAGAGAGAGAGAGAGAGAGAGAGAGAGAGAGAGAGAGAGAGAGAGAGAGAGAGAGAGAGAGAGAGAGAGAGTGCAATTTCTAAAAGCTGAACATTATTAATACTGTACAGGGCAATTCTTTTAATGTAAGCCCATAACAGTGAGTGTTTATTCTGAGGGCAGGAAAATATTGGAACAAGATATTTTAGTTCAAGTTCAGACTGAGCTGTTATAAAACAAAAGCTTTCTTTAGTGCAACCACATCCTCAAACAAATAAAAATAAAAAAATAAAAAATAAAAAAATTCACATCCTGAGAATGCATAAAACGTCTCAGATCTGACAAGAATGATACTGCATTTTACTCGAGCAACTCAATACTAGCTACTTTTCTGCGTGGTCCGCGCATGCCCGTTGGCACCAGCAGTCAGTCCGCGTGCACGAAGATGATGCTGATGCTGAGAAAAGACGCTTCTTCACTACAGCCGTAATGCTCGCGTCTGCCGGTGCTTTCACTGTTGAGGGACATCGCGTTCGTATTAGAGCTCATGTAGGATTTACCTGCTGGAACATTTTGGAAATAAAGACGGCTTTTTCTTAAGGGGGGAGGGGTGGAGGGAAAGGGTGGGGGGATCCAGTCTAAACTAGTTCTGTACAATACGGCTGGAATGCGACCTTATTCAAATCCAGACGATTTCTTCGTGGCATCTTAGAGTGCGTCAATGCCTTTTAAGACATTTACAAGACACTGACGCAAGCCAGACATGTGTAGGGTTATGATGTATTCATGTAATAGAAATGTTATTATATAGTCCTACATTATATAGCGGATAAAAGCGTCAGCTAAATGAATATATTAATGTTATTATATATTCATACGTTATATATATAGCCTTTTCTTCTAGTAGACTTTCGTGTAGCTATGAGGGAGTTCGAGAAAGTTTTTTTTCCGTGTTATTTTTATAGCCTACTATATGCTAATAAGAGAACTTAAATACAATAAACTGCATAAGTTTGTACGGGGTTTCTGGAGTATTAGAGAAAATAGGCTACTTATTTACAATAATAGCCAATTTTTGTTAAATAAAAAAATAATAATAATAAAACTCACATAATGATCGTTCAGTCTACACCAACTGCCTCTCTCGTTTTTAACAGTTTTGAGCCGCTATTGGTTATCGTTTATACTACTGTTCTTTACGCCCAAGTTTAGTTCATGATATGAATACGCAATTTATTGCTAATATAAATAAAACACAAAATATCTGAAAAAAACGGCGTAGACTATAAGCTGATCAGTCATCTCAAGACAAAAAGGGATGTGATGGATGAACTTAATGAACTTAAGCCGGAGCTTAACTTTGCAGTGCAGTAAAAGTGTCAGTCACACACGCACACACATACACACTGATACACGCTGTCCAGCGCGCGTTGGTAAAATGCCAGCGGATGAACCCATCAATCTCTACACACACACACACACACACACACACACACACACACACACACACACACACACACACACACACACACACACACACACACACACACACACAAGTGTGCAGCTCGGGTGTCGGTGATGTAGGCAGACTGCTGCTGTTGCGCAGCATCGCCGTGACGTTGCCGATACTGCAATCACACGCGGGGTTCATGGGTCTCCGGAGCGCATCATATGGAGCCGTCGGTGCACCGTACCCCCAAAACACAAACATGTGAGGAATTTCGCCGGTGTAGTGACGGGGGCAAAATACTTTGTTTCCAAAAAGACACGTTACGATGTGTCTTTTGTACTTTCACCTCCCACCGCCGTCATGTGGCACTGCGCAGCATCCAATCAGCGAGAGGAGGAGAACACTCACACCCCAGAATCTGAATGCGGCTTTGGCGCATTATAAATACCACTTGTGATGCACCGGCAAGCCTTGGTCGTGAGGAAGCTCAGGGTTGCAGTAGTACATCAGTCCTTTTTCTTTCCATAACAAAGAAGACCATCATCCATCTTTTATTTTTTTTCTCCCCAATTTCAGTTCATTTCAGGCCAGTTGCATGCATTGTTCGTCTCCAAAAATGGTTTGCGAGACTAAAATTGTTGCAGACGAACACGAGGCCATAGCTGGGACCAAAAAAGATTCAATTATAGTTTCCTCCTCGCAAATGTGGACGTCTTCTTCTGCGTCCCCCAGTGCGCTCGAGAGTAAGATTGAGAAACGGAACCAGGTTTTTATCCGCGAGTTTGAACGCTCAGACCATGAGGAGGTGCGGCGGATCTTCAACGAGGGGATCATGGAGCGGATACCCAATTCGGCATTTCGGGGTCTAAAACAGCAAACTACAACCCAGTTTATGTATGCGTTTCTCACAGGTATGTGGTGAAAGTACGGGTGGACGATGAACGTACCGCTTTTCTCATTCAACATGTGAAAAACTCTGAGCTCCTTAATTCATTTCAATGCAATAATGATGTCAAATTGAATGAAAAGAACAAAAAACGACCTGTCTGATTTATACACGATTTTATGTTAAAAACGTGGGTTTCTTTCAGCGCACGTCATCATGACATCCTTTTCGCTGATAAATCACTGTGAATGTCTGTAAAGGAGTCACAAAGGCAGCAGCAGCGGCAGTTCAAAGCATGCAGCATGCGTTACCGGTGAATGTGTGCGCGCGCGCCCAATGAATGAATGAATCCTGCGCGGGCGCACTGGGCTCTCCACATATATTGGTGCACGAAGTTGTGTTTGTTGCCTGTTCAGCTCTATGGCTTTTTCTTTGAACAAGTAGTTTTTCAACTATTACTTTTTTAACTATTTGTTTTTAACAATGACACATTCTATTTAATGCTTTATTTCGTTTTTATGTTCACTAATAATGACTTTCAGGGGTTTTCAGCTACAGGCGGTTAAACTGAGCACCATGGTGATATGGCTAGACAGCAAGCATCTTATACTTATGCTACACTGAACATTTATTTACGTCCCACAGATGAAAAGTCCATAAAGTTGCATACTACATTAGTGTGTGTTGCATCTAGGTACACATTGTACGGCAATTATCCAGCTGTTGTGGCAGATTTATTCAGCAAAATTTAAAAGTTTTCCCATTAATGGGTTGCAGCTAGAAGGTCATCCGCTGCGTAAAACATATGCTGGATAAGTTGGCGGTTCATTCAACTGTGGCAACCCCTGATTAATAAATGGACTAAACCGAAAATAAAATAAATGAATGCATTTCAAAGTTCCAAACACTTTGTGAACATGACACAGATGTTGTGCATTATTTGTCAAGTGAAAGCAAGTGTGTGTTGACAGTAAACAGTTGCCATCATGTTGCAGTGGAGTGTGTATGTCTGACGTGAAACATGCACAGTGGCGCAGCGAGTAGGAGCTCAAGTGCGCCATCTGGTGACATCAACCTCGACATACACACACTCATATTTCCTTGACTTTAGTTCACTCAAAAATGAACATTTACTTGCCCTTAAGTGGTTTTAAAATTGTTTGAGGTTATTTAAAGATAATTCGAGGAATGAATCTGGTAAACCTTGACTTTCATACAAAAAACCCATATACTATGGAAGTCAATGGATTTCAGTTTCCAGCATTTTTCAAAATATCTTCTTATCTGGCAAGTAGAAAAAAAGAAGCTCAAATAAGTTTGTGACAAGTGAAGGGTGAGGAAAATAACTGAATTTTCACTTTTGTGTGAACTAACCCTTTAAGTAAACCAAGTACTTGTTATTGTGCCTCCGCTAGAAAAAGCTCCTTGCCATATAAATGTATAACGTTACATATCACTTTTTGTTTTTACAGGAAAAACTCTTAGTCAGTTTTCCATACTTTGCAATGCATCTCCCTGCATTGGTATATCTCTGCATATCTTTCGTAACTTGTATACATTTACTGTATTTGTCTCTCCTCTGCCAAAAATCAAACATTTGATTCTCTTTTCTGACAGGTGTCGTTTATTTTTCTTCCATTTCTCCATAGTAATGTGCTATGTTATGACCAAATCCTTCACACTGACCTTCTGCGCACCGTTTATTCTAATGGGCGCACGTTATTACTACAGCAGAAAAGTCATTCTCAGCTACCTGGACTGCGCCCTGCACACCGATATGGCGGACATTGAGGCATATTACATGAAACCCACAGGTAAGGGCTCATTTCACACTCATACAATTATTTTCACCAGTAGACTTCTCAGCATGCTTCACTGCATTTATGTAAACATTAAAAACAAAATTGGCCACACAATATAGCCAAAGCAAGCACATATGCAATTACACAGACGTTTGAAATATATAGTGTTTTATGATTTTATAAATGTTTTATTTGTTTAAATTAAGTAACTGTATTTATATACTTCAAATCTGTCATGTTAAAAACAGTCCAGGTTATTTTTTGTGTAAATGCTCATATATCTCTTTATTCAATGTTTTTGATTGATAGAAAGATGAAAAATATAGCTTTGACTATAATTATTATATTATATGACTATTATAAAATTAAGTGTTTTCTGTAACTTTTGATCAAATTAATGCATCCATGCTGATTAAAATAACACATTTCTTAAAAAAAATCATTCTTATAAACTTTTAAATAGCACTGTATGCTTTTAATGTTTATCTATGGATGCTGTGTAAGCAGTTTGATTTATCAAAGTCACTAATGTGTAATACATAGAAGTTTGTTACATATATTATGGCTGAACAATATATCGTTTGAGCACTGATATCGCAATGTGTGTATCTGCAATAATCTATATATATATATATATATATATATATATATATATATATATATATATATATATATATACATACATACATATATTTTTATTATTTTATTTTTTATTTTGAGTTTTTCAAGAGAAAATACATATATAACCTACATAATCTCTCATACTGGGGTGCGTTTCCCAAACAATGACATAACTCGCGGCTGAACTATCATAGTACGATGCATCATTTGGGTAAAGAACGATGTAGAGACGAGTGTTTCCCAAAACCAGTTTCTATGTCGCAGATCCATCATTTGAGCCAGATCAGTTATAACGTAAAAAGTCTACAGTGGCGCTCTAAACAGGCAGGAGTAACTACTTCTTTAGAGAAAACCCCCTTAATGTACTGTGCAAATTATATCTGTTTACACACACATGCATGCACACACATTTAAAAAAATCCAATATTAATTTTGGTAAAAACATGCACTCATTTTTCATATTAATTGAAATATGTGTAAACAACACATATAGGACCTATATATGTGTCCTTTACAAATATTATTGAGAACATTCCATATAAAATCACTAAGCAAACATGTATTCTAATCTCATATATAAATCATTAATAGTTGTAGGTTAATTTACAGTAGACTATTTAAGACTTTAAAAATCCTACTAAATAATAAAATTCATAATATTAATTATTATTATTATTAAATAGGATATTGTTTATTTATTTATTTTTTTTTGAAAGTCTACTTTTACAATTTGACACATTCAAACCACTGCAGAAATGTTCTAACCATGTCATATGCAGTACAGATACTTAATAAATAACTTACTATAAATTAAAACAATTAACGTATGCTATATATTTTTGTTTTCACAAACTTTGGAGACGTAACGTCAATTCTTTTAAATAATAGCAGGTGACCTATAGCTTTCGTCATGAGCCACGCCTGTGTTGGCGTTAATGTTTTCAAAGTACACTATGAAGGGAGCAAAATTGCCAATATGAAGATCACAAAAACTGAACTGTAAAAATACTTTGAAAGCCAAATGACACCTAAAAGAGATGACTTTAGAGCTTTTTTGGATGTTGGAATATTGGAATGTTCTAAATGAATAGGGCATAGGGGAGATAACAGAGAATAGAACACAGCCAGGAGCTATGCTTTTAACTACAGCTCTAGAGGTGTAGTTGCAAGTACACAAGTTTACAATGCAGTTTGCAAAGGTTCATTGGAATGACGGATTTGGAAAATGCAAAATTAACAAACTATGTTTGTAACGACAAAACTTGCGACCTTAGTTGGCTAACGAAGGTTTTCAGAAACGCACCCCAGATGAGACTTACAGATCTTGCATATGCTTTGTATTGTCTTACCTTTAACAACAACTATAAACAGTAAAGCATGGGGAGCTATAAATCTTTTAGAAGATAAATCTTAAAGAAGAAAATATATATATTTAGACACAATGTTAAATTGAAATGTTACAATGCAAGAAAAATCTGGGCATTTTGGTGAAATATACTTAATCCATTTACTCTAAATTAGAAAAAAAAGTATTCAGTCTGTATTTTTAATGGAAAAGACATTTTTCTATGACATGTATAGTAAATATTATATTTTTTAATCATTTATACAATAATCACCATGTTATTTTACATTTGATTGTCAATTTCTGTACTTGAATACTGTTAGACTCCCCAGAAAATCATAAAGTATTGTTTATTTATTCATATTTGCTTGTAATTTATTATAATTTATGCAGATGGAAAAAGTATTGATCATTATGGTCAATCTATACTAAAAAAAATCTCTCCAAATAGAGCTGTTCAAATCATCTATATTGTAGGAAATCAAAATATTGCAACATCAGATTTTCCAATATCATGCAGCCCTAATACATATATACCAGTACAAATACATTAGTGCTAATACTTTACTATAAACTGTTCATTTGTTTACAGAGACAATAACTATATTTCACTTCACAATGAATCATTTATGATCAAATATTTATTTCACCACAACAAATACTCTTAAGACCAGTGTCTGTGAAACTGAGGTTAAATACTGCACTCTAGATGCCCAAGTTGGGTCGAATAGTTGATGTGTAGCTTTAAATGCTGAAAACTCATGAAATATGCAGAAAGCCTCTAGTTCTGCTCTTGAGGATAAATGTTCGGCATCATGTGGCGCTATTGATTGAAGACAGGACAAATCCCTTACACAAATTGTACTCTAGCAAACTCAGAACTACAGCAACAATATTGAAATACATTCCAACAAAAAGCTGTAATTATTAACTTGTTTAAGTGCAGAGAGAATAAACTGTTAGAGTTTAGTGATAAGCACTGCAAAAAGTTTATCCAGCTTTTTCATATGTATACATTCGCAGTAAAAGTGGTAGTAAACAGAGTCATCCTGCAAATACTACTTAAGCAAAAGTGACTGTGAAGATAGTAAATCTTTAAACTAGCTGTGGATGATTGCTGCTCTATAATTTTTAAATTTATGATTACATTTATAGGCTTTCCTTGCACAGCATAGCATACAATTGAGTTTATTTCTCAGCTTCCATGTTGAAAAGCCAGATGCTGACAGTCAGAATCCACACTGTAGTGTATCTGTAAACATTTGCGGGAGTGTCTTTTACACCCGTAGTCCATGTGAAAATTAGGTATGGACCTGTGCATGCTGTCTGTCACACCCTAGTAAGTAAAGCAGATTTCCTCTTCAGAGAATTTTAGAAATATATAGAAGAAATTGTCCCATATGTTAGAGATAAAAATCCTATGGGTCTTAATATACATATAATGCATGGGTCTTATAATACATGGATCTTAACATATATCATAAAAGTCAATGCTCTATCTCGATGAGAATCGCTGTGAGTTTATGTAAAATAGGACGCTACAAGTCTGTATTTTTCAAGAAATAATACTGTCATTTGAGCAAGGATGCATTACATTGATCAAAAGTGACAGGAAAGACATTTACAGTGTTATATTTGGAATTAATGCTGTTGACCTTTCTGTTTCTCAAAGTTTTTCAAAAATTATGCATCACAGTTTCTACTAAAACATCAAGCAACACTGTTTTTAAGATTGATAATATTTTAATGATGCTGAACAGCCAAACATTGAAAAGTGGAGTATTTGCTGCTGTTTTGACATTAAAGGAACAATATAAAAATGTAAAGTATATTAAAACAGAAAGCAGTTATATTTCACAATATTTGTGTTATCTTTCTTTTTAATAAAACAAATGTAAAAAAAAAAATCTTAAAATAATTTTATGGAATCCTTGATGCATAAATTAACCTATAAAATGAATAAATTAAATACAAACATATTTTATTTAGTGCTGGGAAAAGATTAATCACAATTAATCCTATCCAAAATTAAAGTTTGTTTTGACATAATGTGTCGTGTGTACTGGGTATATTTATATACAGGGTTTCTGCAGGTAAACTTAAGACTTTTTAAGACATTTTAAGACCATTATGAATCAAAATTTTAGATGCTTGCAGGACTAAACGCTAAGGAGTTTTACATATGGCCCAGATGAAAAATATTTATATTAGCCCTATCATAAAATGATTACAATTTCATACATTTAATAATACAATACACCCACACACATTTGAGAAAATGTTTATTTATATTTACATATAAAATAGGTCTGTGTGTGATACAAATTATATATAAACATAAATATTTATGTAATAAAGTTGTTTTGTATAGTTTTATTTCTATGTATGTGTATCACATACAGTACACATAATAAATTAATGAATGAATGAATAAATAAATATAGAAATATTACTTAGCAAAACATTTTAAATATTGTGTCAAAACAAGCAAGATCAAGGTCAGGGGGTGTCAAACTCAATTCCTGGAGGGCCGAAGCCCTGCACAGTTTAGTTCCAACCCTGCTCCAACACGCTTACCTGTAGGTTTCAAACAAGCCTGAAGGACTCAATTAGTTTGATCAGGTGTGTTTAATTAGGGTTGAAACTAAACTGTACAGAGCTGCGGCCCTTTTGGAACTGAGTTTGACACCTGTGCTCTAAGTGTAAACATACACATAGTAAATGTATTATGTATGTGTATCACATGTACATAATGAATTAATGAATGAATAAATAAATATTACTTAGCAAAATGTTTTAAATAGTGTCAAAACAAGCAAGCTCTAGACATAAACATACACTTTTTTCCAATATAAGCTTTCTAAAAAAATGGAAAAATGCTCAAAGTTTGAACAACTATAATAAACTAAATGTATGCACAAAAGTCTGTCCAGATTAGTCCTCAGCAGCATGTAATAAAATTATTTTGTGTAGTGTTTTGTTTCTATGTATTTGTATTCGGATACATAATAAACAAATGTAGGAATAAAACACACATACACCACATATATGTGAAGTCACACACACACACACACACATATATATATATATATATATATATATATATATATATATATATATATATATATATATATATATATATATATATATACACACACACAGTTGAAGTCAGAATTACCTTAACCTGCCTAGTTAACCTTATTAACCTAGTTAAGCTTTTAAATGTCAATTTAAGCTGTATAGAAGCATCTTGAAGAATATCTAGTCAAATATTATTTACTGTCATCATGGCAAAGATAAAATAAATCAGTTATAAGAGATGAGTTATTAAAACTATTATGTTTAGAAATGTGTTAAAATAATCTGCTCTCCGTAAAAAAAGAAGGTGTAAGAAAAAATAAACAGGGGGTCTAATAATTTGGGGGTGGGGGGGTAGGGGGGCTAATAATTCTGACTAACTGTACACACACACACACACACACACACACACATTAAATAAACATATATCAAAACAAACTATTTTATTTCACAATTGATTTTTGCTCAGCACTATTTTAAATACATGTCTGTTTTATCTATTTAATGCAGAATAAAAAATATAAAGTCTGAATTTATAAAAATAGTTAGCACCTTAGTACAGATATTATCTGTGCATACAAGTATAATCCTAAATCAAGCAAAAGAGAGGAAAGAGTTGTGGGGTCAGGAAATGGGGGAAGATGTGAATCAAAGCCCCAGTGTGAGGATGTATGGTAGTGTTGTTTAGTGGCAGCAAGCAGACAAAGGATTCTCCCAAGGGATTTTCTCTCTTGCTATGCTAATGTGGAATCCTGCATCTGAGGAGGGAATGCTAGATGTTTCTTTAATGCACTCATCATCTGTTGGAAGTGGCTTTCATCATTACAGAGATAGCGTTGCTCTTAGATACTTGGAAGATCATGAATACTGAATATGAAATACATGAATTGAAGGATTCTCATTTATTATTATGTGCTAAATATATTATATGGAAGAAAATAGATCTGTGGTGCAACCCACTAGTCCTTAGTGACAATTGTGACACATTTAATTTCTCAATGTGCCGCGGAACTGCATGTTTAGCAGAAAATAATGTAAAGCGGGTGTTGATTTTATCAATAAGATTTAATTGGATAATGAAAGCATCATTGGCTAATGATTCTGTATTTGAATGGCCTTGCAACCACGCACACAAAAGAAACAGTTATCAGACAGCTGGGGTGGAGGGGGGTACAAATGATTGTGTGTGTGTGCGAGTGTGTGTCATCAAACTAATGAGTGTACAGCAGGACGTTCAGTCCCACAGTGATTTTTTAGTGCTCCTTAGCCCTGAAGCTAATGCAGTCATGACACACAGTAAAGCAATATGTTGCAACATGGCACACAAATAAATGCTATTCTCTGTTGTTAAATTTCTGTACAAAGTAGCAACTACTTCATAAATATTGCACATATTTGATGCATCAATTGTTACTCTGCATGATAAAATATAACATTTAATGAGCATGGTTTTAGACATACCTTTGCCTGCGTATGTTTCATCTTGTAGACACCAGACCTCAGTTCTGTCCTTGTTTATTTGTACAGCTTCACAGAGTATTTATCTCCTTTCTCTCTGCAATTGAATATGTGATTTAGTTATTTTGGCAGAACATTGCTCAACCTCACAAGCATGACAGACGAAAACTATATTTAAGATTAGAGTATCATTATGAATCAATATGTGCTCCTCATTTAACAACAACAAAAACCATATGAGCTAAATGACAATTAACAATTAAAAATGCACTTAATCTGCACTAAAACATTTTTGTAAAAAAAATCATTCATGAGAATCATAAATAACTTTTAAACTAATTTGATGGCAGTAATCTTCATGAGCTTTCCTAACAAATTACGACAGGCTTTCTGTTGCCTAATCATTAAAAGACTGAAGCAATAGTTAAATTCATCTTTATTTCTATACCACTTTTACAATGCAGATAGTGTCCAAGCAGCTTAACATAGAAGTTCTAGTAAACAGAAAGTGTGTAAGTCCAGTTTTCAGAGTTGAATTTCAGTTTAGTTCATTTCAGTGTGCTTAAATGGTTAACCCAGAACTGAAAATTCTGTCATCGTTTACTCACCCTTCCCTTGTTCCAAACCTGTTTGGCTTTCTTTCTTCTGTTGAATAGAAAAGAAGTTATTTTGGAAAAACGCTGAAAATCTGTGACCATTGATGTCCACAGTATTTGTTTCAGTGGTTACTGGTTTTCAGCTCTTTTCAAAATATCTTCTTCTTCTTTTTTCCCTATTTTGTGCTCAACAGAATAAAGACACTCAGAAAGGTTTGGAACCACTTGAGGGTAAATAGTGAGTATATTTTCATTATTCTGTGTGAACTATCCCTTTAATAAGCAATATTTGTTAAAATGATAAAAACTTATGATAAAAACATTAACTGGCATAAGCTGCGCTCACACTGATCTCCACAGAGCTTTAGATAAACAATTTTATTTGGAGAGCATATATACAATATAAAGTTAACAACATTTGGGAACCACTCATATTATTTTTGCAGATAGACTAAACTGATAGATTTTTACAAGACTATGGTATGCTAATTACTTTATTTCATTATTTATTTTACAATTATCTTACAATTATTTTATAATGTTTTTTTTCTCAGTTTGTTCCAGCCAGTTCCATATTATGATTGTAAATGCAATTCATGTATAATATGCCTTTTACTTTATTTTTTATGAACCTTCCACAAACATTTTGACCAATGTTAGATAGGTGGGGTGGGAGGTAGGGTTTTGAGTTCCGTTTTGTAGTAATTAAATTCACTGTGACAGAGTACTTCCAAGAGAAGTTTGATATATGGTCCATCTCTTTCTTGTTAGGATTTAGGCAGTACTGCTTGTATGCTTTTGCAATAAAACACACACACACACACACACACACACACACACACACACACACACACATATATATATAGATACATATGTATATGTATGTATGTATGTATATATATATATATATATATATATATATATATATATATATATATATATATATATATATATATATATATATATATATATATGAGAATGAAATCTTTAATTTTTTCATAAATCAATTGATTTAAAACTGATTTATTTGATTGGCTTGATGTGGCCAGCAGAGGTTTAAGCTCATTACCAAGACAAATTAAGAATTACCAATTACCAAGAATTAAGCTCATACCAAGACAAATACTAGATTCTGACTGCAAGCGTAAATAAACAAAACAAAAACCTCCAAAAGTTTTCATCACAACACTTTAAATTACAACTAGATCATGCAAGAGACTTTCAAATTGCTGGCAAACGTTTACTCTAAAGGCAATGCTGAATTCTTTTCTTGTTTTGTTCTGCACAGGGTCTTGTTTCTGGGTGGCGGTTCTGCAAGGCCAAGTGGTGGGCATCGTGGCAGCGCAAAGTCGAGAAGATGACAACACCGTGGAGCTCCGTCGCATGTCAGTGGACTCTCACTTTCGCGGAAAAGGCATCGCCAAGGCTCTGGGTCGGCGTGTTATTGAATTTGCCATGTTAAACAACTACTCGGCTGTGGTTCTGGGAACAACAGCAGTCAAGATGGCCGCCCACAAGCTGTACGAGTCTTTGGGTTTCCGACGAGTGGGAGAGACGGAGGACTACACGCTGCCAGGAATGACCCGTTCACCGCTGGAGAGGCTCTTCTTCCAGATTCGCTACAGCCACTACCGATTGCAGCTTCACGAAGAGTGAGAGACGAAGAGTTCACTTGAACGCAGAAAACAGAATACAAACGACGATGCCGGCAACGACCCTGAACCACCCACCGATCCGGTCCTCTTCTTCTACCTATTAATTTATGTTTAAGTCATATCTGTTTCTACATTTAGTTCTATTCATTCCTATGCTCATTGGTTCATTTGAAAAGGTTAGGCGAAATGTTTCATTCTTTTAATCACTCTAGACTTTTTCTTTGCTCTTAGTCTTTCTTTTCATGGTCATCTTGCCCTGAAACACAATGAAGAAATGAATAGCCCTGTTGACTTTATCTTATTTGGATAAACAATTTCAATTAAACACAATAATTAGCAGTTAAATGAGCTTTTTTAAAAGCCATCTTATAGGCCGACCCACAGAGTAGCACAGACCACACACACGTGATTTAAGGAACTGGAGAGAAGGTAGTTAATTCACCTTTTCATGAGGAAGTGGTTTGAACCTTACAACAGCAGCAGTCTGGTGGAGTCAAACAGTCCATCAAATTGTAACTTTCTGTCCAAATACACAGCATTTTTAACTGTGTCCGACTAGACATTTGGATATTATAAAGCCAGTGATTTCTACCCTTTGTTTAATAGGTTATGATAACATTGCAATTTATTTTTTATTTGTTTTGATGGTTGAGCAGTTTTCTAGTGCTGAGCCACAGCATCAATGTTAAGGTCAAAAATGACCAGAAAACAGGAAAGTGACGTTTTTAAACTAAAATACTAAATTAACTTGAAACCTAATTATAAGGGTACACACAATTCCTATACTGTGAAAACACACAATAGCAGTGGAACCAATTTTAGCACATATCTATTTGTGTAAAGATTTGATGGAGCTTCAATAATAACTCAATTAAACTTTTGTATACTAATAGTTTCACCATTCAGGTTTGGGAGAAAATACTTACTGCAAATTGACTGAATTGCTTCCCAGTCTGATATTGCTACTCCAATGCATTATCTAAAAAAAAAAAGAACAAATGCAATCAAACTTAAAGTGAATTTAAAATAAAAATACAATCAGCAATACAACGATAAAATGGAGAAATTGAACCGAGCACAAATCTAAATTTGAATAAACATAAAAAAATGTTCACTGTATAAGTATACACTATATAAGGCTTTATATTCTTCAGCTATTCGATATGTATATGTCAAATATTTGAATACATATATATATATATATATATATATATATATATGACATACCCATAATCTCTCTCCGTCTCTATCTTCCTATCACAGTACCAGCAGAGGGAGAGATTCAAACCACAATGAGCCTCATCTGTGACATAATGTTGTATAAAGTTAAGAAACTAAATGTGATTTAAAAAATACATAGAAGTAACTTGTAGTGCATAAAAAAGAAAAAAAGAACATGAACATTGCCAGTTTTCCTTGACTTTAACCCCACCCCCATCCAAAAATCTGACTGCAACCCTGGGCCAGACCTCTCCCTCCCTTCAAACCCACACCCCTCTCTGCATGCGCCACGGAGTCTTGTTGCGCTGCCTTTTCCCCTCCATTGTAGCTTGTACTATCCCCATATTTCCCTCCCTCTGTGATGTCACAGTAGCAGTGTGGAGAGTTGTGGGTGTGGTTTAGAATGTGAGATGGGTGGAGTCAACTAAATAATAGGACTACCCACCAGCTTGCTGCTTCAATGACATCACAGCTGCCAATAGTAGAATGCAAAAGCAATGCAAGTATGTGGCATGCCTCTGTACCTGGTTTGTGCGTACGGTGCCTGCCCTGGTAAAGAAGTATATTTAAAAACTATGTAAAACAAGCGTCTTTTTTTAACTGAACATATAAACAAATACGTGTGTTTCATTGTTCGAAGAAATTGTTGTTGCATGAAACGTCTTTGAATGAAAAACGAGCAAGACAAATACCATCTTTAACACGGCAAGTCTTAAAAGTGGAGCTTTTTTTAAATGTATGTTCATTTTCATTCAGTAAATTGTTTTAGGATATTGCGAGATGTCCTTTTTATCAGTAGAAGGCCTTGAAAATGATGCGATGCTTTGACTAGAGATCAGATATGTGACGCTTCTCGGTTTACTTGGGAGGATGTCCCTGTTTTAGCTATGCGAGTTGAAATGAATAAGGCATCAAGAATACATTTCCCTAGATACAACTTTGCTAGTTGCGTGTGCCAGTCAAATTGGACGTAGCATTCACCTGTCTCCCTTAAAATGCCCAGTTAAGCTGTATTTGAATGCACTAGCATCTTTAAGAAGAAAGATTAAATGGCAGATCAAATCTGTGATGTGATTTTCAACCGTGTAAACCCAAAGCAAACAGGCTAAAGTTCACACTCACTTGTGATTGTGTGGCCAAAGCAAGCCAAAAACAATCAGTACATGAACAGTATGAAAATTTACCAGGAGAATGAAGTTGTAGTCAATCCCACATAAAAAAAAAAAAATCCACAAATGTCTTAACGGGATTTACCACAGTGCTGGCAGAAGTGAATGTATACGGCGATCAGCAATGTATTACATATAGATCCAGATTTGAACAGTGTTTGATGTACTTGAGGTCTTTTGCTATGAGTGTTAATCTTCTTCTGTAGTGCGACTGCCTTGAAAATCCTTACTTTATTATTCTGAATGCAATCAGCATGGAATAAGGGATGTATAAGGTGCATGTGCTGTTCGCAGACTGAAGAGAGCCTGTCTGTATCGCAAGCAAGTGCAAGAACACCATGATCACTGCTTGCGGTTAACTAAGCTGTTGACCAGATCATGCAACTAGTTTTGCACATGCTAAAACTTTTGCACATGCTAAAGGCTCAATTAAATTGGATGTATGTGTACAGTTTGTGTGATATGCTGGTTTAGACTGGTGACTTGATTGGCTGGTCTTTGAAAGTTGGAGCAGCAAGACAGAACTTGAAAAAGTTGTTATGCAAGGATAAAAAGCTGGGGTTTTACCCAAGTCATAAAAAAAAAAGAAAAAACACAACAACACAGAAATAAAGTGCATACTTTGTATATATATTTCTAGTGTTCGTTTGAAAGAAAAGTTGATGAAAAGGCATTCAGATTGACCTTGGTAAGCTGCATGAAACAGATGGCTGCTAAGAATGTTTCACTTAACAGTGGAGAAGGGAGTCAGGGAAGATCCACACTGGTGGATGGACTTGCTACATCATTGTCGCTCATTAGATTATGTATGGAACAAGACACCAAAGTGTGAAGCTGATTCCTTCTCCTTTCATTTTCCAGGTTGATAGCACTCCCCTAACTGTATTTTCCTTCCTTTATTTTATTTTTGTGTTCAACGATATATCTATATTTTTAAATAAGTGTTTAGTTTCTTGTTCTTATGATCCACTACAATGTATCAACAGTATTTTTTAGGAGTTAAATTTGCCAAAGTTGAGTATATTTCCTTCTTTTGCCGTTTGTCTTTAAGATGTTGCCACAACTCATCTTTGTAGACCTCATTTGGAAGTCAAGCCTATGTGCCATTTTATCAAGCAATAATACAAAGTATCACAGTTGGGGGGAAAAAAAGAGAAACGAACATGATCCGTGAGATTATAAAAATGTTCAAATGCTGCATTGATGTTCAATCCCTCATACTTTACTGGTGACAGTCGCTAAGATGTTATTAGTATTGGCACAGCAACATCACCACAGGCAAGCCAAGGCCTGACAAAGTGTGAATGTGAAGTTTCTTTTGTTTGTGTATATTCTCATTCTTTTTATATATAGTTTTGTTCCTTCATTCTAATTACAACTAACACATTTACTTGCATTCCTCTTATGTTGTAGGGATACAAAGCGGGCAAAAATAAGTGAAAAAACCTTTGTGAGTGGTCATGGTCTCTGAGAGTTGCCTCATTGCTCTGAATCATTGGCTGTTTTCAGATATCTCCGGATTCACAAGGTGCACAATCTCCAACAATCTGTGACAGTAAGCAAAACAGAGAAATCAACACCAGTTTCACAAGTGGCTCAATACGCACAGGTTCATACTAACAAAGCTTTTATGATTTTTCTTGAAAAACAAAAACAATTAACCTTTTTATTAACATTTTAATATATGTAAAGTTGTAAAGTGTAATTTACTGTAAATAGCATTTGGGGAACATTTTGTAACAGATACTATATGAATATACATACAATGTTTACAAAAACAAACACAATAACGATACACTTTGAGAAACAATTTTGACTACAAACCGCTTCTATTTGTGCCAGTCAGAGCAAAAGCAACTTTCAGAGTCCCTGCATCCTCTTAGCACTTATTGGAGGCTCTTAAAAACATTTCAAAGTGCTGGTGGGTTTAGTATTTATTGTAAATTACCATTAATTTATGGGTAAATCCCTGAAAATACTTTGGAAATGTATGGCACTTAAAAGATGTCAGTGATAGTTTTCTTTCTTTGCTTTATACCCATGTTTATCAGTTTTAAGTTGGCTGTTTTAGGCTGTTGAACACATTTCAATCATTGGCTGCCTGCTACTGTAAAAACAAGCCCACACAAAGCACAGCAGGGAAATGATGTGCAGCCACACATGGGGGGCGGGGTCAGTTACCATAAAAGGGGCTGAGCTTGGTATGATAATAAGGGCTGGGTAGAACGGATTAGGAGTATGTAAAAGAGGTTTTGAGCATGGCAAATCTGACCTTGCTTTACCTGTTTGGTTGCAGTGATCTCCTGGTTCTTTGAGTCTGAAATCGTTGTACTTGGTTTTCTTAAGCTGTTTAAAACCGTTTTTTTATGTTCCCCCTTTTCTCTTTTTCTTTCATTTCCTCAATACACAGGAACTTTGTAAAGATGTAAAGAAAAGTTTTCCTGATTTATGAAAGAAAGGGATGTACATAATGTATCAATTAAAGGAACGATGCATAAAGCTTGTACAAAAGTGTCTGAGCCACCTATGCATGAACACACAAAGCACATTCGGGTCATTTGTGTTTATTTCAATAAGCACACACTGATTAAAAACTATTGCGCATTATTACATGAAATGTTTAAAGAGAGACCGTTGGTCGTGAAGTTAACTTCATTACTTAGGAGACTGAACGTTACTCAATGCCCCAAAATAATCACAACCAAGTTATTTTTCGTTCTTTGAAAAGAAGAAATTTTGTTCGTTGATAAAAATATATGAATATGTGCTGCACTCCTTTGTCTCAATAACAAAATAAACAACAAATTGGCAGCGGTGAGAAACCAGCAGTTAAGTAAGCATCTGATCATAGATATTTGTAGTTGTGGAAAAAGTTAGGGCTGGGCAATTCGGCCTAGAATATAAATCTTAATTGAACATTTTAACTTGATTACGATTAATAAACGATTATTTTATTTGTTGTTATTATTTTTTGCCCTTACATTTTGCTCACAAGTTTTCTACAGTAAACATGCTCACATATTACAAATTAGAGATTTTTGAGGGTAAATGAAGGGTGCATTTTTGCACTTCATTATAAAATAAATAAAGTATTTTATACTCAGTAAGTAATTGAAACACACTATCCACTTTATATGATTATTTATTGAACATCGACATTGAAAAACAGAATTTAAAGCATACATTGCCTAAGTAACTTTCACTTTTGGAAACAAAAACTATTTTCAGTGTTTTTCATATTAAAAGTAGAAAGTAAGTAGTATCTCTTCTCAAAAAATAACTTGCATATCCTTTATTGTAATATTTAAAACTTTTCTTGCATCTTCTTTAAATAAACATTTTAATGTAAATAATAATTTTAATGTAATGGAAAATATGCCGTCTCTGGTGCTTTAATCATCCTTATTGTAATGCTAAGTAAGGCTCAAAAATAGGTCTATCGTCCTACTTGACCAGAGATCAGATGTGGCTGCAAAGTGGCCGCTGAAGTATAAATCAGCCTCAGCCTAACAGAGCGACTCCA